TTTTGCTTGTCTTGTGTTTAAAATAATTTCTTAACCTTTTACAATTGATTTCACTCTATCCTTCTTAAAATTGAAGGGTGTACATTTTGTCACTCGTACTTAAAAAAAATAAAAAAAATGAACATCCCTCTAATTTCAAGAAAGGGGCACTTTTTTTGTCCCAACATCGTGGATGTCATGTCACAACATGAAGGAGGGACCAAAAGTATCTCATTTTCTTTTTAATTTTTAAATAATAAGAATTTTACTAAATTGGTATTTATTAAATTAAAATTTTTAATTTAAAATTAAAGTCACGCATATATATATATATATAAACAAATCTTATTAGTTACATATATATATATATATATATAAACAAATCTTATTAGTTACATAATAAAAGTGACCATAGAGAGAAAAAAGTGTCACTTTTTAAAAATAAATAAATAAATAAGGGTTCTTCTAACTTATACTTTAAGGTATCTTTTTGTCATAAATGTATACGGAAAAATATAAAAGTTTACATTAATTTTAATATTGGTGTTAAGTAGATAAATTTAATTAAACAGTTTATAATAGTCCTTTTACTTAAGAAAACCCCTTTTTAGTTTCTAAAATTTATTATTTGGCCTCGTTTTAATTCCTCTGTTATCTTTTTGCATACACGGTGTATTAGATAACAGAAATTCTGAGGTAAGACCTAAAAGGGACTAAGATGGAGTTGGATAATCAATTTTAGAGACTAAAAAAGGGCTTTCTTAAGCAGAGAAACTAAAAATGAGCTGTTATCTATTTGCATAGATAGTGCATTAGATAACAGAAATTCTAGAGTAAGACTAAAAAGGGACTCAAAATGAGTTGGAAAATCAATTTTACAGACTAAAAAGTAGCTTTCTTAAGTAGAGAAACTAAAAAAGGGTTTTTTTCTTAAAATAAAGGGTCCAAAATGGGGTCTTGACCTTTGTATTTTAGGTGTCAAAAAGTACACTGTTTTTACTTATGTTGCAGCTTAGTCCTTCAAGTCCTGTGAAATGTGCAGAGCAATCCATAACTTTTCCAATTTGTGCAATTTTTTATTTTTTCACCCTACTTTTTGCTCTCTCTTTTTTCTTTTGTTCTTTTTCTTTTTTTTTTTTTGAAAAAAATAACGGCAAACACATGACTAGGCAGCCTAGGAAGTAGGAACCAAGTAATGTCCCAATGCCTCACTATCTCCTAGCGCTTTTTGCACTCTTATAAGGGGTAGCTAATGATTTGTTGTTTGTCAATGTAAACAACTAAGTAATTACCATCACAATTATCATTTGAGATAGGCATGAAGGAGCTAAAGAGCAATGAACAATAAAAAACAGAGAGAATTACTTAATATTAAGATCATGAACTAAGTGACACTCACACTTCAGTGCTTTCATTCATCTGATTATATGAAGCCAACCATGGTGCTTACAGCTTTAGTTGTTAAACTACTACTATCAAGCATTGACAATCAGACAATTGTGTTCACAAACATCTTTACATCACATAGCTCCAAGCTTCTCTCTTAGCAATTCAAACTTAAGCCTTAAGAAGAGCTTTAGTGAATCTATTAGTAATTTTATCTTTTGAGCTACAGTGCTGGTGTTGAACCTCATTGTTGTTGGCAAAATTCCTGATGTCTTCATAGCAATGTTGTTAAAGGAAAAATGCAAGGTGAAGTGATGGCCTAAAAAATGCCAAAGCAATGAAGCGAAAAGTGAAGTGATCACTTTTTGAAGTGAAGCGAGTAACACTTTGAAGTGATCAATTGTTAGACAGAATATAACTAATTAGAATAGAAACTTAGAGTATTAAGAGTGGAAAAGTAGAATAGGATTCAAGTAGTAGGTTTAAATTAAAATCTACTTAGTGCAAGTAGAACTAAATTCTGTTTTGGAATTAAAATTTAGGAGCCTTATAAAGTGAAAAACTGCTTATTTCAATCTATATTGTACAGATGATATTAAGTTTCTTAATCAAGGTCCCTTAGACTAGATAGATCTAAATACTATAAGCTTACCAACAAGAAATAGAACTGAAAGATAAAGGGAGGGATAAAGAGGAAATTCATAGAATTAAGACAATACTAGAGAATTTTGTTAATATTAACATGAAACCTTATCTTTACTAAATTAAGATAATTTGCTAATAGAAAAAAAAAAAAGAGAATATATCTTAAAGTTAGGGTAGATTATGAAGTTAGGGAAAAAGAAGAGATGGGAAGGAAAATATGCAAATTAAAAAAAAAAAATGACATGAGAAAGGACTTTCCTATTAATGGCAGATGAACTGATGAAGTCAAGACTCAGGAAGATGATGAAGTCAAAAGACAATGGAGTCACAAAGAAAATTAGGGGAAGAGGTAGTTGGTAGGCACAAAGCTTCCTATTTTTGCCCTAATTAAAATTCCAATTTAAACCCTTACTGCTTCTATACTTTTTTTTTTAATCTTAGTGGTTTTTTTTTTTTTTTTCATTCTTTGTCTTTTTAAAGAAGTAATTGCTTCAACATCAAAGCGCTTTTATCGCTTCACTTCACTTTAATTGCTTTGGGATCGCTTTTTTTAAGTAGAGCACTTCAAAAATTTTGAAATAATGGTGCCTTTGACTGCTTTGCTTCATCACTTTAAGTGGTGAAGTGACCACTTTTGACAACACTGCTTGATAGATATGTTTGGTTCTTCCATGTTGCATAGGATTTTGAGCTATTACTATGGCTGGTTTGTTAATTTCTTTTGCCCTAAATCTGTTAGCAATTTCTAAGGCAATTTGCTTGATTTGCTGCTACTTTCAATTCCACATATACAGCCCTTAGCTGTGGAGTGAGCTACAACATCCTGCTTGCTAGTTCTTCAAGAAAATGCACCTGATCCAAATGAGAATGAATAACCAAATGTACTCTTCAATTCATCAACACAAACAACCCAATTAGCATTTGCATACCCTTCAAGTTTCCCATCTTGGTTCTTTTCAAACCAAATTCCATATGCAAGTGCACCTTTTAAGTGAAAAGTACTTGAGCACCCTTTTTGATACACTATATTGAGTTATGTTAGGACCTCTCATGAATGTTGAAAGAAGACTGGTTGAAAACAATAGGGCTCTATTTGCGATTGCTTTGATGTGCTGTGCTAGTAGGTTTTTCTGTCTTTTACTATCTCAAAAATATATAAAATATTAATTAAAATTAATTAAGAATAATAAATTCCCTTTTTTAGATAAGGTGCTATGAAAAAATGATCTGTGTATGGCATAGCATTCCTAAATGAAGCCTAGGTCAGGTCTTGTTGCAATCAAATAGAGCAAACTCCCAACTAGGTGTCTATACTGCATAGGATTGACCATAATCTGTCCATCTTCTCTTGAAATTTTTTCATTCAAGCCTGATGGAGTAGACACTTGATGCTGGCTTGCAGTTGCTTATGTTCCAACTTCTTTAAAATATCCAGTGCATATTTTCTTTGGGACAAATATCTGTCTATCATCTTGGTGAATTTCCATACCAAGAAAATATTTCTTTTTTCCCAGATCAGTCATCTCAAACTCTTCCATAATGTTTGTCTTGAAATTCTGCAGCAGCATCATATCACCACCTGTTATGAGTAGATCATCAACATACAATGACATAGCTGCGTGTCACCATTTGAAACCTTCACATAAAGTGTGGTTTATTTTCAATCTTGTTGAATCCCTGTTCCAGCAGATAACCATATATTCTGCTATACCAAGCCCTTGGTGCTTGTTTCATGCCATGCAAGACTTTCTTTAACCTGTAAATTGCTTTCTCCTTTCCTGTGACAAGAGAAATGAACAACAAAAAACAGAGATGATGAACTAAGAGACATTCACACTTCACTATTTTTATTCATCCGATTATATGAAGCCATGCTTCTTACAACTTCCGTAGTTATTCTACTTCTATCAAGCATGGACAAGCATAAAACTGTGTCCACAAAAATATCTATACATCACATGGCTCTTTTACTTACTCCAACTACTAACAACTACTAACAACTAATTACAACAACTTCACTAGCTTGGAGTATCTAAGCAAAACTCACAATCTAACATTTTAGAATCTTTGATACATGAAGTTTCTCATATCCTATCGAAGCAATTTGATTAGTGTGAATTACAAGACCACACCTGTTAAATGATGTACAAATAAAATGCACTTTATACAGTGTTTTTTTTTTTTGAACAGTTATACAATGGTCTTTATAAATTGTATATACAGTTACTTGTGAGAAAGCATATCCTTATAATGTAGACTTAAGCATCCTAAAAGACTTGTACTCAAGCCGCTTTCTTCAGTGGAAAAGTCCATAGGATTTAAAAAGTGGATCTTTGAATCCTAATATTTTTTAATTTGTGATGCTTGATCTTGCAGTTAAAGGAGCTGGTTGAAAGATTTCCTAAAGATCTAAATGCCAAATTCAATTCAGGTGCTGCTGTCAAGCATACCTCAGATATTCGGAATGTATTCTCTAATGAGAACTGTTTGGGCAGCTTCGCAATCCAACACTGTTGAAGTTCTTAGCTGCTTCTACACCTGAAAATCCCGAGGATGTTTCCTCGGGAAAACACTCCAACGCTCAAGTCAGCAATACTCGATATTCTAGAGAGAGATGCTCTTAAAGAGTAATTGCAGAGAGAGAAGCGTAGAGATTAATTACCTTCATCGGTGGTAGTTGGGTATTTATAGCCCCAAATGCTGACATGCATCAGTACATGTAAGCACCTCATTGGCCCACGTGGTGTTGCTCACGTGGGTATGTCTCCTCCTTCTGGGCCTGCTACGTGTGGCTCGAAGCGAGTGTTCGGCCTAATCCCAACATTACTCCCCCCTTAGTGTTCAGTTGACAAACTGGGTTAAGAGTCTTATTAGCACGGTGTTTGACCCTAAGGATGAGGAGTGATGTTTTATGTTCATAACCGACCTCACGCACGGCAGATCTAGAAGACCTGAAGCCAGCATGGCCAAGTATGATGTGTATGTGTATGTGTATGCCAACCTCCTACCAAGCAAGTGTGAGGAGATTGGCGTTAAAACATAGCGAGCTCGTGTTAACCAACGAGCTGAACGGGCGCGTAAGGGCAACCTTGCATAATGGATTCTCTGTAGCAAAGCGAAGGCGAGCAGATAGTGAACGAGCTGAACCAATCGACCCAGACGGGCTGAAATGCAACCTTACTCGTCACCACAATATAAATTTCTGGGATACATACTAAATCTAAAGGGGTTGGTTATGATCTAAAGTTCGACGTTCAAAACTGAGGTGAATCTCTGATTTGTTACGATCTGATCTCTAAAGACTTTTCGAGTTTGGAGTCTCTGACGAGATTTCGGATTAGTAATGAGCAGATTCCTCAAGACTTTCAAATTTTGAATTAGGGGTAGATCTCTAAGGAGATCACAGATTTGTTACGAGGTCGTCCTTGTCACTTTTTGAAATTTGAATCTACAAAATTTCTGAAGAGATACGGTCTATGAGGAAATCACGGATTTGTAGCGAACTGGTCCTTGTTACTTTTTGAAATTTGAATCTACAAAATCTCTGAAGAGATACGGCTCAGAGTGGTTAGTATTCTCCATCCCCCCCTAATAAATGCTGGCTCAGCATTTGAAGAGACGTGACAGCTAAAGTCGGTGGATGTTACACGTCAAGTAATAGGTATCAGCCACACGTAATATTTTGATTGGTTGGCAGAGAGGCGTGTACTGTAATAATGAGCACGGTCGTTTAACCCCTCTGTCACCTCTGTTTCCATATTCCAGTTCCATATTTTCTGTACTCTTCTGCAACAAAGGACTTCCAAAGTTTTCAGGTGACCTTCCCAGAGAATTCCACAGTCAATTTTTCAGGTAATAACAAATGGAATTTACTAGAGAAGTAGGAGAACTCCAGGGTAACTAGGACACGGAAAGGGAAGAAAGCGTGATATCCGCAGAACCGATTGCGATGATTGTACCGCCGGAACTGCAAGACTTGCCGAAAGAGAGTAGTGCCAGTCCAAGCGTGCACGAGGGGTCTGGTGCGAACCCTTCTCCGTCGTCTGAAGGGTTGTCATCAGAAAATACCCCCAGCATCGGAGAAAATGTAGAGGAGGGTACAAGTAGCCCCTCGCCAAAAAGTATAGAGGTGGCTGTAGATGTGCCTGCGGTTGCAGGCTGAGTAACCTTCGCAAGGTGCCACATACATTGATAGCCGGATTTAGGTTTAGGGCAAACCTACACCACGAGGTAACGGATTGTGCCACCTCCATTAAAGGGTATAAAAGACTAGAGGAAGTGGTGAGGCAATACCATGTTCCGAGGACAGTTTTAGTACGGACTGGCACAAAAAATGAACGAGCTTGTAGCGTGTCAGCAATAGGGTGGATACTCGTATATGTGGACCACTTCGATGCCGACTTGAGATTCCCCTTGCCCAAGCTGATTTTTGATCTTCTCTCAGAGTACGAGTTGGCGCTGACATAGCTGACCCTCAACAACATAAAATTTATAATAGGATTTATGCTATTGTGCGTGAGGTTGGAGATACCTGCGAAGGCCATCGTGTTCAAATCGCTCTTCCTGTGCCGGCTAAGTACCACACAGACGAGGTGGTACTACATCTCTGGGCGCGAAAAGATGGCGATCTTTAAAAACGTGAGGAATAAGGTGTCTCGCTAGAAGAGACAATTTATTTTTGTCTGGGATACACGAATAGAGAGGGTTAGCAACGACCTGGGAGCTTGCCTCTCTAAGTGGCACTCAGGGCATGCGTACATGAACTATCCCACACTAACCCCAGGTGACCTGAAGCTTAAGGACAGGATAACTAACTATGTGAAGGGAGTGGGGTTAGTTGATTTGGAAGCCCTGGTTACCCCTGAGCTGCTCACTTTGCGTGGGTTTGTGGATGTCACAAACCTGTTTAGTGAAGGTATAACTCTATTTTGAATTACTGTTTCTCACGAGCTGAGTCTTATTGCATGTGTTTACGCAGAAGAGATGAGTAGCATGCTCAAGAGGCAACGCGAACAAGCTCAGTGCTCGCGAGGCAGAGGGACTGGGTCTAGCACGCGGAGGCAGACACGCTATAATGAGCTGCCCCCTACAGCACCTCGCAGCCCGTTACAGAGGGAACAAGGCTCTAGCTTGGCCTCACGGCCACAGGCCGAGCGTAGAGTAGAAACCGTCCCTATTGAGACCCAAAGGCACGCTCGTGAAGACTCAGATGCTGAAGATGATGTACCACTGATTCAGCGCAGATTGAACACTGGGAGTCAATCCGGAGCGGTGCGTTCACCTGACGCACCCACAACGGCACTACTGAGGCGCTACCCCCACCAGCAGATAGCGAGGGCCCCAGAATCGCATACCATGAGGGCTTTAGCTACACTAAGGCCGACTGTCAACTCGCGATGGTCCAGGGTATGCAGAACTTCATCCCACCTGTGGACCGTCAGCACGCCAAAGGTTATATTTAGCAGCACGGGAGCCATGTTGCAATGTTGAAGCTGATGGATGTGAGTATTTTGCTAAACGAACATGTTTTTTATTTTTATTTTATAATGAAAGCTGATTATAAAAGTGTTGTTACAGGCGTTAAGCTACTTGGTAGCGTTATTTGAGAACGAGTAGGCAGCTCGTGGACAAAATTGAGAGCTAGCTGATAGCTGCAAGCAGTTGACCTCAGACAAAGCGAGCTTGGAGGACGAGGTGAATTGTTTGCAAAGCTCAGAGATGGCCAACAGAGCTGCATCAGCCGAAAGCTGGGCTGACGAGCTGGCCAACAAGGTCAACCAGCTGCAGGAGGAGCTGGACAGGGTAAAGGCTAAAAAAGAGAGTGGGATTTAGGCGGCCATGGATGAGGTTGTTCGCGCGGTAGATAGCACGAAAAAAGCGGAAGCTGAAAGAGACAGCGCCTTGAACGACCTCAACACCCTAAGAAGGCGGGTGGCCGTGGCCGACCAGGACCTTGCTCGCGTAGAGGAGGGGTTGAGGAAGGCCAAAACTCAACACCAACACTGTATAAGCATCGCGCGAGCTCAAGGCGCGAAGTGGCTGGTGGGTGCTGACATGTTCCAAGATGCCGTGGTTGCGGCTTCCATGAACACCACGACTGAGATTTATAATGACGTTCGTGGTAAAGTGTTGAAGCACCAACCAGACTTCCCGATTAACGAGCTGGCATTTTTTGAAGGTGAAGAGTTAGATGAGGAGGGGAAGAGCCTTGCTGCCCCCGCTAACACGACGGAGCGGCTCCGTTGGGAGCTAAACGAATAAGGAGTGCCCATATGGCCTCCGTCAGTTTTAGAGGAAGGAGAGGAGATTGAGAACCTACCTAGGTTCAACTCCTAGGTGGGTGACGCTCTTGCGGAAGAAGCTGAACCTTCAAGCACTCCTCCCGCGCCTCAGCCCACCTCTGCTACTGCCGCCCCCTCTCCGGCTCGTGCTGACACATCCATTCCCGTCGATTTAACATATGATTAGGATTAGATTTTTCCTCTGCTTTTGTAGTTTTAGTATATCCTTGTTTAAGACACATTTTGTACTTATGTTGACACCTCATGTAATTGACTTACAAGGAATACAATCCAAATGATTTTTGAAGAACTGTGTGTATTATTTGCATTACATTCATACATCATTCAAGTTCTCTAAATACCCAGCAATAATACAAATCAACAGTAAAATTTTCTAAGATTCTAAACATTCCATGTAAATGGTAACTGGTGCCCGTGCATATCTGTTAATATGTAAGATCTAGGTCAGTTAACTTAAGCAACCATATATGGTCCTTCTCAATTAGCAGCAAGCTTGCCCATGTGTGAATAAGCGTTGGTTAATCCAGCTTTACGTAAAACCAGATCGCCAACCTGAAACTAGCGAGCTCGGACCCTCTTCTTATAGAATTTTGCTACGTGACCTTGATACGCCATGTTTCTGATTCGAGACATCTCCTTGACCTCTTCTACCAGGTATAGGTTCTCTCTCAAAAGTTGCTCATTGCTAGGATCGTCATACTGACCCACTTTATCAGATGGCAGTCCGACCTCTGCTGGGATGACGGCCTCTGCTCCATAGGTAAGGCTAAGTGGAGTTTCGCTGGTGGCCGAGCTGGGTGTGGTGCAACATGACCAAAGTACTTTATTGAGCTCGTCAACCCAATTAGAACGTGCAGCTAAAACACGCATCTTGAGACCTCCCAAGACGATTTTATTGCTAGACTCGGCTTGTCCATTTGACTGTGGAGTGTATACAGATGTCAAGGCGAGCTCAATGCCATAGTCGTCATAGAACGACCTCAACGCCGCAGCTCGAAACTGTGGACCATTATCGGCGATGATCTGCTTAGGTATGCCAAACTTGTACACAAATAACCGAGCTGAGTCATACACTATATTTGCATACGATACCACTGGCTTAAGCCACCAAAGAATACCTGCATAATATTGAATTGAACAGGAATTCTTCTATTTTCCTCTCTGTCGTCGTGGACAATGGTTTGGCTTCTATCTATTTGGTGAAGTAGTCCACCGCAACAACTAGGCAGGTGCAACTTCCTTCGCCTTTTACAAAAAGGCCAAACAGGTCGATTCCCCATTGAGCAAAAGGCCAGGGTGATGAGAGCATTTCTCTTGTTTCAAGGAAGATATTTATGCTCAGCTCATGGACAAACACGAAGTTTGGGCAAACTTTAGAACGAATTCAGATACTTGGCATGTGAATATCATTAGCATTGAACTGGCAGGTTGGGCACTTTTTGACATAACTCTGTGCGTCCTCAACCATAGTAGGCCAGTAATAACCGTGCCTCAGGAGTTTCCAAGCTAAAGTTTTGCCACCTATGTGTGTGCCACATACTCCTTCATGAACTTCTCTCACTGCGTATTCAGCTTCATACTGAGTAAGGCAGCGTAGTAAGGGCATTGAAGCTGCCCGCTTGTAAAGCTGATTATCTAATAGGGTAAAATGTGCGGCCTTGCGTTTAACCAACTTTGCTGTGGACGAATCTTTAGGCAGCTTGCTGCTTTGCAAATATTCTACAAGTGGAGTAGTCTAGCTTAGTGAAGAGGGATCTGTGCTAAGCAACTGGCACTCAATTGTCAAATCGGTGTAGCTTAAGGCGTCAAGTAGCTCTACAAATGTGGATCTCTGAGGGTTAATGTCCTGCGAGGAGGCCAATTTTGACAGCTCGTCAGCTCGGTGGTTATTAGCTCTTGGTATTTTGTTGATTTGGAAGGAGACAAATCCTGACTTCAATTTGTTGACCACAGAAGCATAACGACCAAGTTGAGGATCCTTGGTTTCACAGCTACCATTCACTTGGCCCACAACGAGTTGAGAGTCGCTAAAAACCTGAATGCTCTATACCTTCAGCTCAGATGCCAACTTCAATCCGTAAATGAGGGCTTCATATTCTGTGGCATTATTAGTTGTCTAAAACTTAAACCTCAGTGCATGCTCAGATTTAAAGTCATCTGGGCCCACTAACACAGCCCCAGCACCCGATCCTTCAATGTTAGTAGCTCCATCAACATACAAGACCCAGACTGGGTGCTTAGGTGCCTTTTCTTCCCCAGTCACCGAGATGCATTCCACTAGGAAATCTGCTACAGCCTAGCCCTTTATGGTCGTGCGCAGCTGAAATTTAAGGTTATGCTCACTTAGCTCGACGCTCCATCCGATAAGCCAACCAGAAAGTTCCGGTTTCTGCAATATCTTCCTCAATGGCAGGTCGGTATAAACGACAATTTGATGTGACTGGAAGTAAGCTCTCAATTTTCGAGCTGTGTAGACCAGGGCAAAAGTAGCCTTTTCTGCTAATAGATAATTCTACTCTATGCCTTGTAAAACCTTGCTCACATAGCAGATAGGCTTTTGATTTTTATTCTCTTCCCTCAGCAGAATCGAACTTACTGCTTCCTCTGTGACCCCCATATACAAGTATAAACTCTTTCCTTCCACAGGTTTAGATAGTAGGGGTGCTAACGCCAGGTATTTTTTGAGCTCGTTAAACGCCTGCTGACATTCATTTGTCCATTGAAAGTTCTTGGGCTCTCTCAGGGCTTTGAAGAACGGGAGGCATCTTTCTGCCAACCTGGCTATGAACCTATGCAGCACAGCAACACAACCCGTTAAACGCTGCACATCCTTTACGGTTTTGGGAGGTTCCATCTGCTGAACGGCCTAAACCTTCTTTGGATTTACCTCAATTCCTTTCTTAGATACCACGTACCCTAGGAATTTTCCTGACTCTACAGCGAACGTGCATTTCAGGGGATTCAGCTTCATTTGGGCTTGGCGCAAGTTCTGAAAAGTCTCATCCAGGTCATCTATATGATTCTTAGCTCGCACACTGGTGACTATCATATCATCCACATATATTTATATGTTCCTACCAATCTGGAGCTTAAAGATGATTTATACCAACTTCTGATACGTTACACCAGCATTCTTTAAGCCTAATGGCATCATGACATAGCAGTAGATTGCGTCACCAGCATAAAAGGTTGTTTTCTCCTGGTCGTCCAACAGTAATTGAACCTGGTGGTAACTTGAGCTAGCATGAAGGAAACTCATCCGTTCATGTCCAGCTGCCCACTCTACTAGCTTCTCCACATTTGACAAGGGATGAGGGTCTTTTGGACACGCCTCATTTAGGTTGGTGAAGTCAATACACATCCTCCACTTGCCATTTGGTTTTTTGACGAGCACAGGGTTGGACACCCACTCAGAGTATTCCACCCTCCTGATGAAGCCTACCTGTAACAATTTTTGTATCTCTTCATTTATAGCAGCTTGCTTCTCAAGGCCAAAAAGGCGACATTTCTGAACCCTTTTGGTGGGGTTCGTGCTGAGCTTGTGGACTGTCAACTCTGCTGGAATGCCAGGCATTTCATCCATAGTTCACGCAAACACATCCTGATTAATCCTCAAAAACTCCAGAAGCTCTGCTCGTTCTTTTGCTGTGAGCTTGGTGCCCACCTTAACTGTTCTCGCTGAAATGTCAAGGTTCAAAGGGATCGTTTCTACTGGCTCTACTTTCTGCTTTACACCCTTAGGTCGATGCTCGATGTTTGATATGTTCATTGTCTGCTGACCGAGCTGAGTCGGCCTCTAACTTTCAGTAGGGCCTTTCGAGGCTGTAGCGAGCTCGACCTTCTTGAAAGTATCTTGGTAGCAGGCTCTGGCCATCTTCTGGTTCCCTTTAAGCACTCCTACCCCCTGAGAAGTTGGGAATTTCATACAGAGATGAGGTTGAGAAATAACAGCTTTCAGCTCACAGAGGGTGGCTCTTCCTAATATGGCATTGAAGGCCAACTCCATTTTGACGACCAAGAAGCTGACTGAAGCCATCTTGAAGCATGGCTCTGAACCCACATAAATGGAAAGTGTAATTACTCCCTCCACTGGGACGGGCTGATTATCAAAGCCATAAATAGGCCCTTCATACTTTTGCAACGAGCTGGGATTCAGCTGCATTTTTTGAAAGCAGCTCCAATACAGGATATCTGGTGAGCTACCAGTATCAATGAAGACCTTGTTGACGTTATGATTGCCAATATGGACCGTTGCTACAAAAGGATCTGCATGAGGCATCACGACGTCGGGCTCTCCCTCTGCTCACTTATAATTCGCAGGGCTAAATGTGATGGGTGAATTCTCCCACTCTGCTTCCTCAAATGGGCGCTTAAGAGGTCGGTTCTTATTAATAGTCATCACTTGGCGGGCATACGCCTTACGGCCTCGGGCGCTTTGGCCCCCTGAGTGCATATCACCAGAAATCATGTTGCTTGTGCTAGATGGCGAGGGGATCCCACCGTTTCCAACCCGTTCGTGGTCCTTTTGATTCTGCGTAGATGCTTTCTGTCCTGCCCTCGCCTGTTGAATGAGCGTCCCCTGTATACTCTGTTCAGCTCAGATAAGGATTGAACCGCCTAGTAAGGGATTGGGCTGTTACCGAGCTGATATCCAGGTGCTTGAGGTTGGCCATACTCTTGCACGAAATGGGTCTGGGTGGGTTGCCGAACGTAAGGCTTCTGTACATACCCCTCCAATTTTCCATTGCGGGCTAAGAATTCAAGCTGGTCTTTCAGGCTCTGATAGTCTTCTGTGTTATGGCTGTATCCACGGTGGTAGTCACAATATTTGCTTTTGTCCGCTTGTGAAGAATCATGCGTTTGGGGAGGGGGTCTCTTGACCCAGTATTGTATTTACGCCAATATCTGAGATCTTGACGAGCTCAGGGGAATGTAACTGTCATATTTTGGATAGGATAGCGATTTTTCTCTCTGCTCACCAACCTTCTGTTTCTTCTTGTCATCTTTGCTTTCAGGCTACTTGGGCTCTTTACCCTGCTTATCATCAGCTCGTCTCTTGGAAGATTGAAAATCTTCGGACAATATGAAGCTTGCCAACCAGTCATTTACTTCATTCCACGACTTAGGTGGATTCTCCAACAAGTTGTCTAGAAACCGACCAGGCTTCAGACCATGCAACAATGCAGACAAGCAGTTGGTATCGGGAACATTATCAATGTCTAAGGTAGTCTTGTTAAACCGTTGCATGTAGTCCCTTAGAGATTCCCCCTTTTTCTGATGAACTTGCATCAGCTCGGTCGCTGTATGTTTAATCTCCCTTTGGCTCACAAATTTGTTGGAGAATAGCTTGGCAAGCTGGGAGTATGAGTCTATAGAGTGTCTGGGGAGTTTATGATACCATCTTCTGGCCGTTGACTTAAGTGTCATTGGGAACACTTTGCACATCATGGCATCGTTGGCGTTTTGGATTCCCATGATGGCCTAATAGGTGTGCAGATGTTCATCTGGGTCACCCGAGCCATCATATGTTTCTAGGTGGGGATTTTGAATCCCTCTTGATACGGTTCCGATGTGATGGATAGGTTTAGTGGGGCATTATCCAAGTCAAGGGTCTGTTGATGCGACATGGGACTTTTCAGCTCGTCAATGGATTTCTGTACGTCCCGTAGCTACCTTTCAAGGTCTGCATTCTTTCTCATCAGTTCTTCATTGTGTTTGGATGAGCTAGGCTCATTATTTAACTTCCCACTTCCCCTTGGTTTGGTCGGTACTACTATGTTACTCAGAGCGGGGGAGTTTCGAGTTGCCACAACAACAGCTAGCTGTGCATCCCTGTTCAACAAAGGAATCAGGGGATCATCGGGGATCAAGCGGGCAAGGATTTTACCCATTGCCATTTCGAGAACTCTGGTTCTCTCTTCGAGCTCGTTTGTCCGAGCAGGCTCTACTGACCTTTTAGGTCGTTCATGTTGTGCATTGCCTTGTCTGGGATATCTTTGCCTTGTTCCTATTGGAATTTGAAATTGTTCAGGCTGGGTTGCATACCCAGTTGGTGTCCTTTCATCATCATCTGTTTCACTTAGTTGATCCTGTTCTGCTCCTCCAACGAAAAGGTTTCTTGGCATTGGCCTAAAATCATTCAAGCCGGGCTCAGACAATTGAGTGTCCTCCTATTTGTCCATTTCATTTCTTGGAGGGCGACTTCCAGTAAAGATACGGACCATTTTGCCTTTCAGCAGGTTAAGCTGTGCGACTTCTTGTTCAATTCCCACAGACGGTGCCAAATGTTTGGGCAACTTCGCAATCTAACACTGTTGAAGTCCTTAGCTGCTTCTACATCTGAAAATCCCGAGGATGTTTCCTCGGGGAAAACACTTCGACACTCAAGTCAGCAATACTCGATATTTTAGAGAGAGATGCTCTCAAAGAGTAATTGCAGAGAGAGAAGCGTAGAGATTAATTACCTTCATCGGTGGTAGTTGGGGGGTATTTATAACCCCAAATGTTGACATACATCAGTACATGTAAGCACCTCATTGGCCCACGTGGTGCTGCCCACGTGGGTATGTCTTCTCCTCTTGGGCCTGTGTGTGCATAGTTGGGACTACTACGTGTGGCTCGAAGCGGGTGTTGGGTCTAATCCCAACAAGAACCATACAACTAGCTTGATCTCTCGTGAAAGTGAGTCCAAAGGTGATTCAGGAAATGGAACCATATCTCATGGAACGAAGGCACTAAATGAAAAGTCAGAGTGGATGGTGCATGATGAACCTGGTGTGTACTTAACATTGTCCTCCTTGCCAGGCGGCGGTAATGAACTCAAGCGTGTTCGCTTTAGGTATGCATATTAAATCCTCTCATTAAATCCCTCCTTTTGGCCACCTCCACTGGATTCTAGATTCAGCTTGAATCATATAAATCTCATTATAAATCCTGGACAACTGTTCTTTGTTCACATGTTCTGAAATAAGCTAATCATATTTTTTATAAAGAAACTAGAAAAAACAACTACTTACATGCTTGCTGCCACACATGGCAAGAGTTTAATAGACAAGGAATCAAAATCAAGTCATTATACTGGAGACAAAGGCATAATAATTTTAGTTTTAGTTAGTCTCATCTATTACCCATTTTTGACAGCAATTCTCATGGTAAATGTCATGGTCAGACATTTACTGCTGTCTTTGATGTTTATGTTAGAACAAGTTGAGTTCCTTTTAAGAAAGTGTCTCTGAATGCAGTTGCTTGGAAATATTTACCAAAAATTTGTATTTTTTTTACAGTCGAAAACATTTCACAGAAGAACAAGCAGAAAAGTGGTGGGCTGAAAATGGACCCAAGGTTTGCAAGCGGCATAACATCTTAGGTGGAGATTAATCTGCAACTAAGACCATTTGGTATTTCCATCCACAGGCGTTCCCATCCAAGTAACATTTCCATGGACTCGCCAAGCTAAAGTCAATGGACGCCATGCAGTAGCATCACCTTTAATGGATTTACCAAAAAAAGAAAAAAAGCATCACCTTTAATAGACAAGCTTTCAATACGGCTGTATGCTCCCTCTAACAATCCCACTGCCAAAATAGATGTACCACTCGTGGTGTTTTTAGTCCTTTGTGATCAACATCCATCATTCTTCTCAGCCCTCCATTTCATGATGATTTGATTTAAAATCGTACTCCAAAACTACCAAACATGATACAATATATTTTTGAAAAAGTGTTTTTCTATTCACTACTAGAAAAATGACGTATACGGACCGATCATATACGGACCGAATAGTGTCGGTCTGAACACAAAAATATACGGACCGATATCGGTCTGGATAT